ATTATAAAAATAAATATCAAATTTGTTTCCACTTCTGAAGTACTCAAGTTCTTCAATCACGTTTTATTTCTACTGTGTACATCTTTTACAAATAAACTTTACAGTAAATCCTATCACACCTATAGAATATATACCGTGGCAATGAAGTGATCAATTCAATATATCCTGAGAAATACAGATTGTTTTCAAAAGTCACACATACATCGGGGAAGCTATACTATGCCAACAAATTCACATATGTCCAAAATAGTCTGTTCCGACTGTTAGAGTCTGTGGGTTGATAGTGCTGTGTGGATCCTTCTCTTTTACAGTGGCACAAGATGTGGTCTGGATTTAGACATCTGTTTGTTGTATCTGTAAATTTATGAGCTTGGGAAGAGAGAATGGCCTGCTGACTTTTTTTTTTTTTTTTTTCAAAGCAATTGTGACACCTACCTGTGGACCAAGGAAAAAACTAAATGATCCCCCATCTTTCAGTTCCACACCAACACCATTATAAAAATGAGTTGATCTGAAGTGGTTTCACCTCTTTCTTATCTTCAAGATCTATGATTGGTAAATCTGACTCCTTGCAAAGCAACCTACGTTTTGAGATACTGTTGTCAGCCCCGGGAGAATTTCAGAGCCCTGTCCATTGGGCATGGGTGGAGGGCAGGCTGGGCAGGGCTCATAAAAGACTAGGACGCCTTGTGTCTCTTCAGTCTTATTTTGCAAACATCACCAATAAAGGTTTCTGCTACTCCAAGTTTTGGTAGCCCAAGCTCATCAAAGCATGTGTCTATTATGTGTCTAGCATAGTAAATATGGCTCTAAACTGCATACAAGTGCCCAGATTTTAATAATCTATTTTTTCAAAAGAAAACAACAGTAGTGTGTTTTATATATATATATATATATACATGTACTATACATATACATATATATATTACACACGTTGTACACACATACACACACACACACATATTTTTTCCTTCCCTAGGTAAATAAGTGACAGAACTTGTGCCGAAAGAAGGGAATCTATACAACAGAAAAAAATAGTTTTCCCCTTAAGGAAAGAAAAGACTGGACAAGATTGAAATGCTGTCTTCCAACCCCATGACCACAAGCAAGAGAAACACATTAAGCAACTTGGTGCTGGGAGGCTCCAGAGGGCCTGGAAAGCACCAGGGTGCCCACTTACTTGCATTGCTGTGCTCCGCCTTCTATAGGTAGGGCTGGACGCCCCCGCCAACCGCCGTGCAGCCCTCGCTGGCATCTGTCAGGGGAGTGGGCAGTTAGTCAGAACCGACCCCACAGCCTCCTGGCTGCGCAGACCACGGACCCACCATCCTCCACTCCCAGGCAAACAGCGGTTTGGGAAACCGACTGCCTCCAGGGCCGCCAGCGGAGACGACTTTTGGTGATGTTTCCTAGCTCCTAACTTTCCCCCTTGAACTTCTCTTTCAGGTAGCCTCACCTAGGAGCAACAGAGTCCATATAGAACAGGGGAAAAAAACAAAAACGTTTTCTTTCCGGAACAAAAACGTTTCTGATTTTCTCTTTTGAAAACAAAACGCCTTTGAGGATAACTGAAACGTTCTGTTTGCTTCTAGCCAACTGCAGAAAAGCGGATTCAACTGTGATTCCTTAACAAACAAGACACCCAAACACACCCGGCTTAGACTCAGTCATTAGGGCGACACGCTGTCATTTGCATTTCGCGGAAACTGACAGCTACGATAATAACAGTTAAAATAACAGTAAATTAAGTAAAAACAAACAATAGCAGGGCACGTCTAAAAGGAGGCCCCCACCTTCCCTGGATTCCTTCTCGCCCTCGGCCCTCACTCTGCTAATTCTGGGTCCCGAGGGCGGCCCCCTGGGTGTTCTTCCCGAACCCTCCACCGGGTCTACCGGGCGCTCCGCCTCCCCGGGGCTGGGGCCGGCTCTCCCTCCCTTCCCGGGCGCCTCCTGCCGCGGGCTGCCTACCTTTCTTGGGCTCGTAGCCGCCGCCCGGGGGCCGGTAGTGGGACTCGAGCGGGTGCGCGCCCGCCTTGCCCGCGTCGCTGGCCGCCTTGGGCGCGCAGTGCAACGCCTCGCTGGGGGCTGCGGTCGCAGAGTTGTAGCGCAGGAGGCCCTGGCCCTGCAGCGCCGCGTTCAAGTTCCCGTAGTTTGTGTAGTTGCCGTAGAAGGGCGACGTGTAGTAGAGCGGGCGGCCCAGCAGCGGCGAGGCGGGGTAGGGCGAGCCTCCCGGCGGTGCCCCGGACGAGGCCGGCGCGGCGGCTGCGGGCATCCCCGGCGGCGCGCAGCCCGGGCCCAGGCTGGGCTGCTTGAGGTCCGACGTGGCGATCTCGGCCAGTGACCAGAGCTTGGGCTTGCTGGCGGGGGGCGGCGCGCCCGGAGACGTCCGGCTGCCCAGGGGCGTCTTGCCGCCACCGCGGGGCGCGGCCTCTGGCGGGGGGCTCAGCAGCGGCGCCTCCAAGCCGGTCAGCGGCGACGAGGTCACGGGCTTGGGCGGCGCCAGGCCCCGCTCACCCTCCTCCTCGTCGTCCTCCTCGTCCTCCAGGTCGTCGTACTTGTCCTTACACTCCGAGCCCGATTCGCACAGGGGGTCCCCGGCGCGGCACGGAAGCTTCTCCCCGTCCGACTCGGCTGAGCACGAGTGATCCGTGAGCGAGTCGACGTGCAGGCTGATCCCTGCGGGGGCGCGGGCACGGTCGGGGGCACGCGGGGACGGCGCAGGCCCTGAACCCTCCCGCCCCCTGTCCTGCGGCACAGGGCCCTCCCCACGCCACCCCTCACCCCGCCCCTGCCCGGCCACGGGAGACGTGGAGCCTGACCTCCGCAGGAAGAAGGGCCCAAGGAATGGCTCGCTCAGATCCCGCTGACCCCGGAGCGACGTGGGGCGGCCGGGGCTCTGGCCCGGACCTGGGGCACCCGACGGGCAGAGTCCGCCCGCCCCGCCTGGAAAGAAAGCGCCCCTAGACTTTGCTCACCTTCGTCCTCCGCCGAGGTCTCGGTGCCCTCCTGCGCCTTGTCGGGACTCTCGTCCTTGCTTCTGGCCGCGTCGCCCTCGTCCTCGTCCTCATCCTCGCTTTTGTTTCTCGGGGCCCAGGTCATCTTGTTCTCCTTCTTGAGGCGCCGACGAGCATTGGCGAACCAGGTGGAGACCTGTGTGAGGGTCATCTTGGTGATGATGGCCAGCATGATCTTCTCGCCTTTGGTGGGGTAGGGGTTCTTGCGGTGCTCGTTGAGCCAGGCCTTGAGCGTGGCCGTGGCATCCCGCGTGGCGTTCTTGCGGTACGCGGGGTCGTTGAGCTGGTACGGGTAGGCCGCGCTGCTGTACGGGTGGTAGCTGATGGCGCCAGTCATGCCGGTGGTGTGCGCGTCGTAGGGTGCGCCCTGGAACCAACAACAGTCTGTGAGTGGGGTGTGCGGACACTCTGCGGGCAACCAGCCTCAGGATGCCACCTTTCCAACCGCCCAACAGCTGCCGTTCCCCCACGAGTTTCTGGCTCTGGGGCTGCTTCCCTCGGCAAGAGTAGGAAAAACGCAGCGTGATTCGGGAATGGTTGGTCATCACAGAAAGTACCGCAATTTTATTCTCGAATTTTTGAACCATGCCACTTTCCTAAAATGACCCATCTTCCCTTAAGCGTTCCAGAGCCGCGCGTGGCGATGTACACAAACCCTCGCACGTGCGCGCACACAGGCCCACAGGTAGCTCCTTGATATCTAAATTTCTGCCGGGGCTTGGAGAGCCGCTGCCTCCCCCGACTCACTCTTCCCCGCCCTTATATGGTTAAAAAAGCACCCCAGAGCCCCCACTTCACTATTCACTGCTCTAAAGCTGGGCAAATCCAATTTGCAACTCAGAAGCCAGTCACCGTTTCAAATTCTTCACAGACGCCGTAATTAGCATTTTAATTCATCCTTTAACGTTTAAATTCGAGACAGTTGCAGCCTTCTCCAAGGCCCCAGCCTCTCGGTCGCTGCCCAGGAATTCCGCCCAGGACCGGCAGTGGCGACAACCCCGTAATGGCCTCAACAGCCCGCAACGTGCTTCGCCGCGGCCGGGCACCGGCCCAGCTCAGGAACCCAGGGGCTCGCGGGCTGCCCCCCGGTCGCCGGAGCTGTAGCTGCGCTTGGTGCACGGAGAACTCGGGCGGCCGGGACGCCGGCAGGGCCATGCTCGGTTTTTGAAAGCGTGGACTGCGGGACAGGTTAAGGCCGAAACCCCGGCGCCTCGGGCCGGACTCGCGAGCCGCAGCTGGAGGCTCGGCTCCCTGGCCCAACTCGGTGACCCCTGCCGCCCCGAGCCTCGCTAGTGAACCCTAACTGCCCGGCCGTCGGCCCAGAGGCCGCAGTGGCGCGGACCCTCGCGGTCCACACCAATGCGGGCGAGCACACGGCTCGTTCCCAACGCCTCCCCGGGCTGCGGTGCGCGAACCAGGGACAAACCGCGCCAGACCCCGGCCCCCAGCGGAGACGCACTTCCCAAGATCTCAGAGAAAATGAGCCGGCGAGCCGAAGGGACGAGCAGCCGGGGCGCGGGTCCTGGCCCGGCTCGGGGACATCCCCGCCGGCCGCGCCCTCCACCACCCGGGGCCCGGTTCAGCCTGTGGGGCGGCAGACCGAGCGGGCGACTCCGAAGCCGCTGCCCGCTCCACATTTCCCGCGGCCTCCGCCCGCCGAACCCCGGCCCCGCTCCGCCCGCTCCCCGGGTCCGGGTCCGCACACTCCGGAGTCCCCCGTCCCTCCCGCGCCCTGTTACCATGTAGGACGGGAAGCCCGCGGCGGCGGCGGCAGCGTCGGCCGAGTACTGCAGGGGGGTGCCGAAGCCGGTGGCCGCCTGCGCGGTGAAGGCCGCCGAGCCCGGGTAGGGGCTGAACGCGGAGCCCGAAGCCGAGCGCGCCAGCTCCTCGCTGCGCGGCGCTGCAAGAGCCGATGCGCCGTAGGCCGGGCAGGAGTAGAGCGCCAGCGAGCCGGGCGCCTGGTACAGGTAGCCCTGCGGGTAGGACATGGTGGGCGCGGGGCGCCGGGCCCGCGTCACGCCAAGCAGCGGGCAGGGCGCGCGGCGCCCTCCATCCACGCCCGGCTGGGGCGCGGCGCAGCGGCGGGCACCCGGACGGCGGGCCGAAGCAGGCCGGCCCGGGCACTAGCCTGGGCGGCCCGCGGGCCGGGGTGGCGGCGGGGCAGCGGCGGCGGCGGCGGCAGCGCGGAGCCGGTGGGCGCAGCCGCGCGCCAGGCCGGCGGTCGGGGTTTGGGGGAGTCTGGACTCGGGAGTGAGGAGTTGAGGAAGGAGCGCTCGAGTTTCCGAGGGACATTGGAACGCGGAGCTGTCCGTCACGCGCTCATCTGCATATTCGGGGGCCCGCCCCTCCCCTGCTCCGCCCGCTCCAGCCTTCGGGCCGCGGCCGGGGGAGGGGCAGAGAGCGGGGAGGGAGGCGGGGGAGGGCGGAGGAGACAGAGGCGGGCGGCGGGAGGGACCGGCAGGCTTTTGTGGCGCAGCCGCCTCTCTGGCAGCTCCGGCCCCAGCCCGCGGCTCGCGGCCGTGCAGCCCGGCCCGGCCGCTCTGCGTCCACCGGCGACCACCCCACCCACTCCCACGCCCTCGGAGCCACGTCCCCTACCCCTCTCCGGCCGGCTTCTAAGGTCCCAGGCCACGGTCTCCGCCGCCTCCCGGCCCCCGCCCCTTCCAGCCACTACCCCGCCCCCCACCCCCTGTCGACCCTCTCGGACCGGACAGAGGCCGCCCGCGGTGGGGCCAGGCCGGGTCCACTTGGGGGATTCACTGCCTGCCCCTCTGTGCACCTGGAGGAGGCCGGACCACTAAGTCCAGTCCGGAAGTCGTAGGGAAGTGGGGAGGTCAGGACGGTGGCGCCCGCGGCTTGGGTCCTCCTTGGGGCGGTGTGCGCGCGGCTTTCTCTTCCACCGTCCTGGACCTGCTCTGACTCCCGGCCCGAGGCTCCCCGCGTGGCCTCGCGTCTGGTCGCCGGCCCCTCGCGGCTCGCTCCGCCCAGCATGGACCCGGATCCGGGGCGCCTCAGTGGCAATCTGCCAGGAGGGCCGTAAGGTGAGATTTCTGCCCCTAAATTCGCAGCGCAAACCCCGGGGCCCTGAACCTTACGACTTTCCACTGTTGGGAACGCCGCCAGGGCTTCGCCTAAGAAGACGCGGTCCCCTAAAGAATTTTATTTTATTTCGTTTTTCTAAGTTGACTCCTCTTTCTGATTTGTGTTGTCAAAACACTGGGGGGATGATTGTTACTGGACAAACCGCCTCTGGCAAGACCTGAAGCTTCCCCGACACCTCGGGAACGGATAGGAGCTCAGGCTGGCGCCGCCAGTGGGCATCACAGGCAGCTTAGGTGTGGCGGGGGTTGGGGCGGGTGCCTAGTGGGGCTCAAAGGCCAGGCGGTTGGCGAGGGTCCCTAGGACCCCAGCTCCCTAGAGCCCGCTCCCCATCACGCCTCCCCACCCCTGTTCCACTCGGGGGTGGCCGCAGAGGGTGTCTGGCTGCCCAGTCCGAATGGTGACCTGTGGGGGGCGCTCAGGGGGATGTGAAAGTATCAGGTGTCTGCTGGCCCGTTGGGAGCACCCACTCAACAGGTGCCTCTACCCTTGGAAGGGATGGGTGCGGTGGAGGAGAGAGAGGGCCGTGGCCTGGGGCGGGCCTCAGCGAGGGCCTGCAGTCGACTCCTGCACCCCCGCTAGCCCCGCAACCTGCGGAGCGGCCTCTGTAATCTCAGGACGCCGCGCTTGGTTCGGCCTCCCGGTGGTGCAGCTACAGCGGCGCCGGGGAAGCGGAGCTCGGGTTGCCAGCCTGGTCCCGGGCTCAAGAGAAACATGGCATCAGGCTGTCTTTCCCCAGGTGCAAGGGAACCAGTTACAAATAGCAGTGCTGGACTTGAGGAGGGCTCCTCCTGAACTGGAAGGCAAGCAGGAGGACGCTCCCCCGGGGCTCGGTCCAGGCACGTTACCCTTCCAGTCAGGAGCTGCGGAGCCACTCGCCCCCTACCAGTTATCCGACCCACCCCTCCGTCCACACCGCTCCCCCTCCACTCTTCCTACAAACCACACCCGTCCTCCACGCCCCCTTTCCATGGCATCTCAACACACACACACACACACACACACACACACACACACACACACACGACCACCGCTCCCCCACCCACAGACACCCCGCTTCACACAGGCCAGGGTTCCTACAACGACCCAGCAGGCGGTTTCAACCTTGCCGCGGTTCCACGTGGGACATCCTAATTCAGTTCAGGGCAGAGATTTTTAATTAATTACAATAGAGTTGAAAAACAGAAAGAGAAAAAGCAGCTGACTTGGGCAAGCCGGCGACAATCTGCGGCAGTTTTTGCGCTTCCTGGGAGGGAATTCCTCCAGGAAGAGGGGTCAATGAGAGTCCACATGCTGGATAGAAAACACGGACACTGACTGATCAGATGGCAGCCGTTTTGGTTCCCTTCCGATCAGATCAGTTTAAGTGAAAAAAATCGGGTGTAATTTTGATCACCAGGGAGGACAGGCCTGGAGTATTTCCATTTCTAAAGCGCGTTCCCGCTGTGGTTTCATTAGCATTTGGGGCTCATCTTCCCTCCCCTCCCTTGACCCCCCTGGGCCTGACCTCTGCCAGGGGCAGAAGAGAAAACAGCCAGTTATTACAAAAACATCCTCGGTTTGGAGCTGGAGTGTCTGCTCTGGATACAGTCGATTCTGACATCAATTAAATATATAATCAGACACGTGCAGTGGCTGGGAGGGCATCCCCTCACACAGGGTGCATCTCCAGAAACGCAGCCTGCCCTTCCCTGATCCTTAGCTCAGTGCTGGGAGTTTGAAGATGGCCTCTTCCCGTCCATGTGTATTTTCCCCCCAGCAATTATACTCCTCCACTAAAATCTAAATTTTCCATACCGCTGCTGCCTGTTACTAATAAAAACCGTCTACCTTGCACTATTAAACAGTCGACTCTTACTACATGCCGTTTTTATTGGTAGTGACTGTAGCAAATTAAAATGCCTACGCAGAGACATTAAAAAACTCGTCATTGTTATTGGAATATATAAACTCCATTTGGCTTTAAATCTCCCTGATTTTAAAGAAAAAAAAAATCTCTTCCTTTTCTTAAGTTAAAGTTGGCTTGGTCGTCCAAAAAAAAAAAAAATCAATCCCGAGAAAACCTGCTGCCAGTGTGGAGTCTTGGCGGGGCGGTCCCGGCGAGGCCGCCTGCGAGGGTGGCTGGCTCAGCCCGGACTGGGTCTCCTGGCCACGCGGGCCGCAAGGCCGCAGCTCCCAGAGAGGAGGGCCCGGGCTGTTTTGCTCAAGGGCAAGTGGGGTGCTCAGGCCTGTGGGGTCGCTGGGGAGGGTCTGGCACTTGGTTCCTGCAGCTTTTGAGAGGGAATGAGCAGGCACGCAGGGGAAACCGAGTAACTGCTTTGAAAACGCGACTTCTGGCCTCAGTGACCCAGGCCCTGGTAGTTTCAGGTTCCCGGCGGGTCCTGCCCCCTTCCCCAGGTGTGCTCTAGAGGGTGGGGAAAAGTTAACAGTGCTCTATTTTTCTTTCTTTTCCCTGCAGCAGCCAAAGAATTCAGAGCAAGTCCACGTGGACATGCAGGTCTCCGCGAGCGAGGATTTCCTGCGAGGCTGATCGCGAGGAAGTGCCGGCCCAGAGGCTCGGGCGCGGTGTCTCCCCGGGAACGCGGCCGGCTGAGAAGGCCGGGGCGCTCGCCAGGAGCGGGGACGTCCTCGGTGTCGCGGGGACGGAAGGAGGCGGCGCAGGCCCGGAGACGTGCGCGCGGGCGGCGAGAGGGCGCTGTGGCCCGTGCCTGCCGGCCGGAGTCCCACCAGCGGTGGGCGCGACCCACCTCCTCCCACGGCGGCTTAATTCGGGAAACTAGAAGAAAACACATCAAGGCGTTTCAGTAAACCCTAAGCGGCTCCGGATCCTTTCTCGTGGTGGTTCCTTATGAGCTCTGGTGTTGGGGGGCGGGGGGCGGGAAACAGTTACCATTCTGGGATGTGTCCAAGTTTTTTGGAAATTAACATTAAATAGACACATTTTATGTGGGTTTCCTTGAATGAAGTAACATTTGAAATACAAGTAGTTTCACTGTATCAAATCACATGGCTACCGTATTTACAGTCTCCGGCCCTCCCGCTCCAGGGCTCCCCGCGTGTTTGCGGAGAGACAGAGTGAGGCAGATACAGGGGCCCGGGGACTCGAGAAGCTTGGCTAAGCATTTTTTATTTTCTTTGAAAACAAATACATTGTTATAAATTGAATAAAATTTAAGTCAACATGGAACGCACATGTCCTTCAAACGTCGTTTACGGGTCTAGTACTCTGTGAATCGGTGGGACTGGATTTCACGCGCAACCGGCATTTCTAGGCTTTCAAAGATGCTTCTGACGCCTAAATGTTCTCCTGGAAGACACTCTTGCAGAGGAGCATCCGTGGTAGACTGAGGGGTCCCCGCAGCCCCAGTCCTGACAGAATGTGCGAGGCCTCTCAAGGTTTTCAAATGGGCCCGCAAGGCCTCGGAGATCCCCGGTAGCCACGAGGGCCGCACTTCAGGGACTCCGGACGGAGGCCACTGAGGGCTGTGATGGCTGGGAGGGCCCCGCTCCGGGTGCTCCGAGCGCCTGAATACCGGACCCTACGCCAGCGTGCCCTTTTCTTTTTCTTTCTTTCCTTTTTTTCGTCCCTCCCTCCCTTCCTCCCTTCATCTCCTTCCTTCCTCCCTCCCTCTCTCCTTCCTTTCTTCCCTCCCTCCCTCCTTCCCTCCTTCCCTCCTTCCCTCCTTCCTTTCTTCCCTCCCTCCCTCCTTCCCTCCTTCCCTCCTTCCCTCCTTCCCTCCTTCCCTCCTTCCCTCCTTCCCTCCTTCCCTCCTTCCCTCCTTCCTTCCTTCCTTCCTTCCTTCCTTCCTTCCTTCCTCTTTCTTTTTCTCATTCTAGGACCTTATATTCGGCTAACCAGCTCTTGCTTACTTAACTGCCCTGTTTTTAGCTCCCGGTTTCTGCGAGCTCTCAGCACGGCTAACTCGTCCCTCCTGGCTTCCTTCAGTGCTCCGCAAAACTTGCCCTCCTCCCACAGACGCCCCGCCTCCGACGTGCTTCCTGAAGCTTCTCTCCCGCGCAGGGGTCCCGACTGTCCAGAATTCTCCAGCCTCTCGCCGACTCCGTCTCTATCCTCCTCTGCTTCTCTCTGTCCTCGCGCTGGCTTCGCCCTCTTCTCTCCTCCTCCTTCCCACCCGCCCCGCCCCCTCCCGCTCGTCCCTCTCCTCGCCTGGGTCTGCAGCCCCTCGTGGCCAGGCGTCCGCCGCGGCTCCAGGCCCAGGTCCCGCCACGCTGGGCCGCTCGTGGGCTGCTCTCACCCAGCGATCCCTGGAAACAGCGCGTCCCGCCAGCTGCGGCTCCGGCCCGGGAGGGAGCGCGGCTCCGGGACCTGCAGCGCCTGGAGATCCAGGAAACCGCGTTCCTTGGCAATGGACAGTCCTGAGATCCTTGAAGGGATCGCAGTGGAAGGAGACCCGCTTCAGAATCAGCAACGACCTGGCCGCCTCAGTTCCTCAACAGGAGACGGTTCGAAGCTGAAACGTTTGAAACTCCGCCGCCGTGTCACCTTTGCACACACAGGCCCAGGTCCGCAAGAAACGCAGGCACGCGCGCACTGGCGCTTGCCAGAGAGGTCGGCGCGTCTCACTGCAGCTGTTCTGGTCAAGCGGAGTTGTCAGGATTTTGTTTTGTTTCTGTTTTGCCGTTTAACATTGTTTTACAAGACAGTCTTCAGCAGGACGTAGCTCCCTCAACCCTCCGTCCCTCCAACGGCTTCTCCGTGGCTTTGCAATCTGCTTTTTAAACACCAGAGCGCACCTCGGTGCTAGCCTCGGCTGGGCGCGGGGTGTGCGGGCGCCCGGGAGGCTTCGGAGAGCGAGGGGTCCACTCCATCCCGGCGTGAGCAGATGGGACTCCTCGCTCGTAAGAAACCACTGGAAAAAAGGAAATAATTCCTCGAGTGTTTTACAATTATTTTAATCAAACAGGCGAAGCTCTAAAGAGCGCTTGTCTTGAGGCCAGGTTGAATACCCTTTGCAAACTCTCAATTCGGCGTGTGCGCCCGAAACCATGAGCCCTAACCAGGGGCTCCGCAGCACGCGGTCCGGCAGGCGCCGAGCTCCTCCTTCCCACCCTTTAGGGCAGCCTTCTGCACCCCTGGGCTACATAGGCGGGGCGGGGAGGGTTGGCGTTTGCTTCCTTTGCTTTTATTTTTATTTTTCTAAATATGGCTGGGGATGCAGAAATTTTAAAAATGAATACATTTGAGTGTGCTAAAAGTCGAAACTTCTCTTGGACAGAACAGAAACCGCTGACCCCAATGGCGGAGGAGATACTTGCTGCACATGTAAATAACTGAGCCTGCTCTACAGCGCCAGGAGGCATCCTGGCTGCCAGTGGGTGAAAACGAAGCACCCAGCGGAATAAAGGGGCAGGGAGGGGGGCAGCCCTCCGCGCAGAGGCAGAGGAGATGGCTGAGAATGCGCACGTTCACTGGTTGTCTATCTCTAGACAACAGGAGATGCCACTTCTCATCCACTGATGACACCAGGCAAGGCCTAGAATGTGCACAGTAGAACTCTCTCCCTGCCGTGCAGCTGGAATTTCTATAGAGAAATTCTCGAGATTTTGGCCACATCTCAAAGAGCACAGAGGTGCTGGGGAGGTGGGGACGAGGCCGCCCTGGAGCACTGTTCGCAGGAGTGCAAAACTGAAAAACTCCTCCATGGCCACCACTCCAGGCCTGGATAAAGAATTCGGGGCATATTTCAAGGAACAGAATGTCCCTCTGGGCGAAAGGGGATGAAGTCGTTCTGCTTGTATCAACTTGAGTGCCTCCTGAAAGTGCAGCCGTGGGGGCGGGGATGCAAAAGGCTGCTGCTTACAATGGAATTTAGAAACAAACCAATATTTTGTGGTGTCCACAGGCGCGAGGGTGGGGGAGCTGCAGCGTCGCCACGGCACAAAAGTATCCCGCGTCTCCGGTCTCTTCAAAGAAGGAGAGTGGGCATGGGAGGAGGACTCAGGCTCTGTTAGTCATGTTTTATTTCTGAAAAATAGATCTGAATGAACTGTAGCAAATTGTTAACAACTCTTAACTTGGAATACTGATTACACGGGATTATATGACTCTACGTTTTCATCATGTGAAATATTTTATGCTTTGACCATTAAAATTAAAGCTTTTTATAAAAGTGTCATATCCACTGAAGTATAATGTGCTAATTTGGGATTGATTCATTTAAATAAAACAACTTCCTTCAAATATTTTATTTTTAATGTCTGTTTTCCCCTCTCAATTCCTCCACCTTTTTTAAAAGCCCAAACATGTTTTAGAATTGCTAGTTAATCTTAAAGGTTAACCTTAACTTGCATGCATGTCTGTGTGCCCGTGTCCTGAGCATCCTGCAGAGGCTGTCCCAGCCCTGGGCCTCCCTCCACTTCCTCTCCAAGTCCAGGGTCTGGCTCGCACTTTGTTTATGGTGGTGGTGGTGGGGAGGGGTGCTCTCTGGAACAAAGGACAAGGCCAGGTGTGCTGGGCACAGTGCGGCTGGGTGCCGTCACCAGCTCGCGCCTATGAGGAAAGATGTGCTTCTACATGTCATTTGACGTTTCCTCTCATTCCAGAGTGTCTGTGGCATAAAGAATATCGCCTGGAAAGGAGAAGCGAAGTAGGAGGCAGAGGGGAAGGCTGGCCTTTGGGGCTCGGCTGACCCTGGGTTCCTGGCAGGCCCTTTCGCCTTCCACATCTTCTCTTACTCTCAGGGTAGAACACAGGGCCTTCTGCTCTTTCAGAAACAATCAGTTCTGCCTAGTTCTCTTTACTGTGGCCGGAGAAGCTGGATCTTTGTGAATACAAATCTGCTGAGGGCCCCAGCAGAGTGGGAGGCCGTAGGGGCTGGCCTTGGTCAGCAGTTAGACGGTGATGTGTTTGGATGTGTGTTCCCTCCAAACCTCATACTGAAATGTGATCTCCAGTGTTAGAGGTGGGCCTTGTGGGAGGGATCGAGATCATAGATGCAAAGCCCTCAGGAACTGTTTGGCCCGCTGGGTACAGTAATGAGTGGTGATGAGCTCACAGGAGAGCTGGTTAAGGGACCTGGGACTCCTGCTTCTCTTCCTTGTTCCCACTCTCACCCTGTGACATGGACGATCCGCCATTGCCTTCTGCTGTGATTGGAAACTTCCGGAGGCCTCACCAGAAGCAGATGCTGGCACCACATTTCCTGTACAGCCTGAAAACCATGAGCCAAAATAAACGTCTTTTCTCTGTAAATTACCCAGTCTCAGGTAGTTCTTTATAACAATGCAAATGGACTGAGACACAAGGTCTGTATATTTTATTGTATTCCTCACTGTGCTCAGAACTGCACAGGGAGGAGGGTGCTGTTTTCTGGGAACCAACACAAGTCCAGCCCTCCCTTTGCTGACATGGCCGACCACCCTGTGGGGCCGACCACCCTGTGGGGTCGCTTCAGCCTGAGGTCTCTGCAGCTGGTCAGCAGGCAGAAGGTGACGAGTTTAGACCCCTTGCCTTTCTGCCTGCAGCCAGTTTTTCTGCCAGGCTGGCACTCTCCAGGTGGCTTCCTCCTGTAAGTTTCACATTTATTTCTCCCCTTAGGGGTCAGCACAGGCCCAGGACACTCCCAAGGCTCTGTGCCTGCGGGTACCAGAGCTACAGGTTCCCATTGGGATGGTTCTCCAACCTCAGCACAACCCCTGACTCCACTCCTGGCATGCTGGGGGCAGTAGACATTGATTAAACGAATGTATACGAGAAAGAATGAATGACTCACTCTTGGTTAAAGACATGGTGGGGTGAAGGAGAGAAGCAAGAATCACTGGAACACGTGCTCACAGGTCCCTGCCCCACCAAGAGCCGTCTCCAG